TTTTTTCCCCTCTGCGCAGTGTACTCTGTTACGAATACAGCGCAAATAGTGATTTTTGCGTACGCAATTGTATGGTAATTTGTATGGCAAATTTTGTGAGGTCATTTTTGCGCATTTTTTCTTTCCTTAAATCCACGCGGTACTCTCGCGTGCAGTGCGGGCATGCATATACGTTTTTGCGCGTACCCCCCCGTGGAAGAACAAGCATGGCGAGTGACCTGTCGCACGGGTAATGCTAATTCGCACTTACAGTGCCCTGGGAGTACAGTACCGCCCCCCAACCACCTTCTCAATGCATTCGGGTATGCGTCGTTTCCGGGGGCGGATCAGGAGTACATATAATGACAGAGCGAATGCGTGTGCCAAAGCAGCAAATAAAATTAAACATTTGTGCTCAGGTACGCAATGTAGTCCTTTCCACCCGCGCTGCCTATGTATCGGATGAGTGCCTGTACGCACATGCGGCAACACATGTGATAGGGGGCTCGCGTGAGTGGAGAGCGATCCTTTGTGATTATAATAATATTCCCCTACGCGCAGCAGTGCTGTAGGCGGGGACGCGAACAGAAAGTACACAGTGTCGAATAGCCCGCGGTGGCTACCTGCATGGTGTAGCGAGGCGTTGGCCAATAGGGATTGGGGTACGCCGCGCATAGGGTGTGACGGATGTGAGGAATGCTGGTCGTTCTTTTGACACCTTTTTTACTGCCCATTTTTTTTCGAAAGAAAAATTTCCCCCTTTTGCCACATCGTTTTGCTGCGTCCCTTTGCGCCGCTACAAGCGAATGGAGCGGTTTGCCTGTTTTTAACAGCCAAAGGACAATTTTATTTTTGCCTATATAATGCCCGCAAAGGTGTTTGGGGACGCTGCCAAGTGTAAGGGCACCCACAAAAAAAAAACAGGTGTCCCTCTATAACAACCTTTGCCTTTTTATGCTGGCTGGTGTTAGGGAAAAAAGTTAAAAGGTGTGCAAAAGTAAACGTGTACTTTGTATCGTTTTCACTCTATTGGAGCTTCACACCCATGACGCAAATCAACAAGCAATCTCGAAAGACCCCAGCAACGTGGGCATAGCGGTAAATTTGCGGGTGTGTCCGCATTATGTGTACATTTTTACGTTAAAAAAAAAGGGAAGGTACCGTGCACTCCCATGCTGCACGTTTGTTTTCTCACCCCCTCTTTGGTAGATTCCCGAGTGGGGAGCAAGAACTAACGGGGTGCGACGGTTTAAACTGTTACAATGCCTAGTGGCTATGTTGCTGTTGTGTCTGTGCCAACTTGTGAACGTGCAGGGGAATGTCCTGTGCCGTCTGTACGTGCACACATGAGCGCGCCTCATTTGGCTCGCAAAAATTATGAACAGGTCAGAATTTTTTTTTTCAAATAGCGGAAAAATAGCCAAAAATGAGGCGTAAAGAAAAAAATAGCTGACCAGTTGAACGACAGAAAAAAAAAAAAAAAAAATAGCCACTTTTACGGGTCACACATTTTGCAGTAACTTAAAGTAGCGTGTGGGTAGCACATCGCTTTTCATTCCCAAATGGATGACGTGTGCCCCATCCGGTGTGCACATAGAAAGCAGCACCGAGGGGTTCGTCAGAGGTGTCTCTTTGTGTACATTCGAACGTGGAGCACTTCTTATCCCTGTTTCGGCTGACCCTTTCAAGGGCTACAATTTGTCCAAAGTAGCATGTCTTGTTAATATATAGTTCCCCCCTTTTTGGTGACATATTGCTTGGGTGATTATTCTATGGCGCAAGCATAAATTATGACCGTGTTATATCCTCCCCCCCCACAATGGTCAAATTCAAACCAGCTGGGTTAAGCCATCCTTCATACTTAACATTTTTATGGAGAAATATGCCACCGTGACGAGGTTGAAGAGTTGCCCAAACACACACGTCGTGGAGCAGGAGGAGGATGATTAGGGGGAAAGGGGGGGGTGTATACAGAACAAACGCTAGACGTTTAAAATGTATGTTCGTCCATTTTTCCGTCATGGGTGGAAACTTTCTACAGAGCTACCCCCTCACAATTGGTCCTTTTCCGTATCGTTGAATTGGGACAGCAATTATTTACTTCTTTCCTGACGCAGTTGATCGCACCATTACACTTGTGCGCAAATCCGATGAGGCTGCCCCTACCCCTAGCAGCGCTCGAATATCCTGTACAGCTGGTTGAGGGAGGTGAGCTCGATGATGTACCCATTGGTGGAGAAGGTACGAGGGACCCTCATGACGCTGTTCAACTGAATCATGGGGAAGAAGTATTTTTCAAAAACGAGGTTTATATTTTTGGAGGCAGCGAGATGTTTATTCACATCCACAACCGTTTCGTCCCCTAAGACATTTTCGAAGTTATAGTTTTCTTCTTCGCAGGCTCCCGGGGATGATTTTCCTCCCGCCTCATTATCCGCTTGACCCTTTAACATTTGTATTTCCTTCTCCTTGAGCATGAGTAACTCGTTTTGGAATGTCCACTCCTTATCATCGAGGAGGGTAACTTTGGAATAGAAATTGGCTATCAAGTAGCATATGCCGTTGATGCAGTTGAGTTCCTTTTCATAATCTACTTGTGTGGCGAGTCTTAAGAAGAGAAGAGGTAGGAACTCTTGTCCAGGAAAATACTCCCCACAGCATGCAGGAAAGGTACACACACACCCATCTTCAATAATGAGAGAAAAATAATCAGCATACATTTCCTCATAAGAGTAAAATACTTGTTCCAATTCATTACAGAGCCTTTCCATATTTTTTGTCACGTAGTCTGGGTTTTCAAAGTAACCTGAATGAGAGTTGTTCATGGCGACTAGTAACAAATCGTAGAGGGGAATTGGAGGGTCAAATTTAAAGGGTGGTATTCTGCCAATTCGATTCAGGATGGATTGGTATGTGATTTCTTTTATTATTAGTGGCATTTTTATCATGAGCAATTTGTCTTTGTACTGAATGAGGCTGTGCAAATTATCTACTGCTCCTACGTATATGGAGTTTTTCAAACATTCGGTTAGTTCCTTTTTCTCCTTTTCTTCACAAATTTTTTTGAGTTTCCTTATGCTGCTTATATCATCACATTCACATGGGTATAATCTGTCGTACTTGGTACTACTCACATGCTTTTCCACATTTGTGTTGAAGAGAGCCGGTTTGGGTGGTTCCAATTTTTGCACTTCGTACTCCTTGTCCTCAAACACAACCATCGCCCCGTCTTCCCCCCCCCTCTCACCCTCCTTCTTGACGAAATAATTCGTGAGGGTGATTTGCCTATGATCTGTACGCACTCTCTTGGTATCTATTTGCTTCTTGTGGTCATTCCCAACCTCGTTTCTTCCTTGGCTAGCCAAAGTAGAAGGCGGTTCTTCCCTCTTCACCTCGATTTTCATAGAAGACAAGTCGAACCTCGTCTGAACCATGTTGACTGTGGGCGCCCCAAAACTCCTGGCGTTGTGAAAATTTTTCAGAAATTCTTCTATCCGCTTCGAAATGAGCATAGCTATCTCTTCCTGGTAGAGGAAGTGTACCTCCTTCTTTGTGGGGTGAACATTTACATCTACTATGTCATACTTTAGCCTTATGGAGAGATAAACCCAGGGGTAGTTTCCCTTGGCAAGGAAGTTAGCATATTGACTCTCACACATGCGTTTTAGTATGCCCGATTCGACCAGACGGTCGTTTATAAAAAAGATATAGCTGCCCTTTTTCCCTCCATAGGTAGGGTTACTTACCAACCCATAACACTTGAAGAAGGTAGGAATTTTTTCCTTAATGAATATGGTACTGAGTTCTTTGGAGATATTTCTGCCATATATTTTTTGAATGGTTAATTTTACATTGCTCAAATTTGTTTGGTAATTTGTGTCGAGGTGTTTCTCCTCCTGGAGGATTTTCTTCTCCACCTCGGTGTACGTGTCCGCTTCTGCGCGTGTGTCCGCTTCCACGCCTGCGTCCGCTTCCGCTGGTTTGTCCGTGGAGGCAGTGCCCCCGCCATGTGCAAGATCAATCTGCCCTTCGGGGGCGTCGCCCATTTGTGCGAGCTCGCGGAATAACTCCTTCCGTTTCCCTTTGATAACGTATATGCCTCCCATTCCACCGATTCCCTTCCCCACCCCTTGTGTGCTCAAATCGACGGTGTTACTGAGCCACTTCTTACAAGTAAAAGAAACATGCGGGTAGTGAATGGCATACTTTTGTAAAACCTCCAGACACTTATTGTATTCATCATTATGATTTAGCGCTCTCAGTCTAGAGTTCATATTGTAAAATAAATCATCGAACCGTATAATAGTTCCATCTTTGCCTGAACAGACAGTGGGTTCTTGTTGTGTGGGTTTTCCATCCTTATATGAACACGTGTAGCAAAAAGAGGCCCCTCTTTTCTTCGTTGTTATGGTCAAGTAGGACACGTGGGAAATGGAGGACAATGCCTCTCCTCGGAAACCAAAAGTCTTAATTGACCGAATATCTTTATGGTTGGTTATTTTGCTTGTTGTAAATCGTTCGCACACAATTTGGAGGTCATCCTTATGTATGCCATCTCCATCGTCTATTATTTGTAGTGACTTGAGTCCTCCCTTGTTGAGATGCACACTTATGCTCGTAGAGTTGGCGTCGAGACTGTTCTCAATCAGCTCCTTTAACGCGTTGCATGGGCGAATAATAACTTCACCAGCTGCAATGCGGTTGATGTCCTCCTCCGCCAGTTTGATGATACGCCTGTCACTGGACGCACAGTTGTTCTCTCCACCGCTGTTCACTATGTTATGCTCCTCCATGTGGTCCACTGGCGTCATTCATACAGATGCTCCACATTGCACATGGCTCTCCGGGAGTAGTGATGGTATAATTATGCTTCTTCTTTATGTATCCCTTTTATATAAGGTTATGTTTCGCTTCTTTTTTTTTTTTTTTTTTTTTGTAAAGTCGCCAGTTGGCTTACACAAAAAAAAAAAGGGGGAGGCCGTCCCTGCTAAATCTGGACGAGGAGGAAGTGTGTTCACTCCGCTAAGGCCTCCTCCATATACATATCATACGGAGATGGAAGACCATCCTGAAGTAAAAAAAAAAAAAAAGAGCGCCAATCAACCTTCACCACTCACCATTTTTTTTTAACCCTTTGAAATGTGAAGGCACATCTCTCCAGTTGTAATGCACTTATTTTTATGCTCCATTTTTTTTTTTTTTTTTTCCCTCCCTTTTTGTGTGTATTCCCACTGTGCATATTTCGCTGCAAAGAGGGGGGCGCGGCTCGTCTGATTTTGTTTCGTCCTCCCTGGCATTCGCAAAAAAGGCTACGTTGCGATTGGCGCGTCCCACTTGGTTATTTTGTTGCACACTGTGTTTTGTCACAAATATTTTGTTATATACATATATATATATATCCTTTTTTGCGTTTTGTTTGATCCATTTGGAGTGTCTGTGGGTGGACGCGCGGGAATGCACACGCGCATGAGTCAGCCGCTATCTTCCAGCCCGCCAGTTGGTCACACAGAAGAAAGGGTTTTCTTTCTTTAGTAGACAAAAGGGGGAGAGCGGGTGTTACAAAGGTATAAGTAAACACATGGGTATGCCCCTATACTATACCATACCATACTGTACCATTTTTTTTTTTTTTTTTTTTTTTTTTTTTGTTTCCGCAACCCTTGGAATGATTTACATTTGACGCACCCTTTTTTTTTGTTACCCTCGCCGCTCTGTCACTGCTCCCCGTTTGCACACCATGTTGAGCGCAAAGAATAAGTTCGAACTTGCTAGGAACAGGTCCTGCAGTAGCATAAGAGAAAACTTAATGTGCTCGTCGGTCATACTGAAAAACTCCAGCTGTCTCCTAAAGAGCAGCCCCACCTTTGATAACACCACCCAGTTGCACAGGCGTGGTGAGGGCCTCCAGGATGACATGACTGACATGACTTGCCCGGAGGAGGATCTACTGAGGGAGACAAGTGCCAAGGAATTGCACCAGTATGTGTACACAAGTGAAGTCACCCCCGATGATGAAGTCGTCTGTATGTCCAGCGAATGGACCCAAGACCATGATGTGAAAAATGAATTTAAAAAAGGAATTCTGTACGACAAAATTGTGATGTCTGACAGAACATACAACACTTCGGTGGAGAGTATACACAGCAACTTCCAGACGAACAAGTTAGACCATGTGGTTAACTCAATAAAGTTTGAAGAAAACACAAGTATTAAAATTCCTTCCTATTTGAGGAACTCACCCTTGTATGTCCTCTACCCCGAGTTGGACTATCTCAAGGGTACAAGAGTAGAAGAGTTGCCAGAAGGACAAGACGACGCAGGGAATACAGTACAACCACACGAACATATGCCACACCTCGAGAAAAATAAAAGCCTCAACAACTACCTAAGGTACACACTAAATAACAGCCACACGACGGGGAGGAATAGAATGTATGATTACTTCGAGTCGAATAAAAAAAATATGGTAGAGATAGCTAACCCAAATGACCTGAACCATACACTCCTCTACACAAAGAAAAAAAACCCAACAGAGCTCATATTCAATTTGTACAAAAACAGGTACGTCACGAACAGCAGCAACCACACAGACAATGAGCTACACACACTGAATACTCTTAAAAGGTTGAAAATGCCATTCGTGGAAAAAAATGAAAAGGGAGAAAATATTCCCATTACATCTGAAGTTAACGCCAAAAGGAGAGTAAATCTGTTACAAAATGGTGATGCTAGTAAGGACAAATATACGAATGCACGAGGTAAGGAACAAGTAGGGAGGGGAGGCAAACCCAATTATACTGTGTCCCTCATTGATATGTCCTGTAGCGACAAGGCTTCCTTAAAAACAGTCCACCTCAATAATGATAAAGGTGTAGGGGACAAAAAAAATATTTTTCAATTAAAAAAAAAGACACGAAAAGATGTTCAGGTACAAACAGATCAAGACGACTTTGAGCAAACTGCTAAATGGGATTGCGACTCAGATGTTCAACGTGTTGTGAGTATATTTGAAGGAAAGAAAAAAAAAGCTTCCCCGGAGGATACACACGTAGGGAGCTCATCTCGTACAGGGGAGATCTGCATTTCTTATTGTGACTTGGAGGGGGTAGGGCAGAGCGATGAAGAAACGCCGACTCGAAGTGGTGATGTGGGCGAAGTGGGAGAAGTGGGCGATGTGGACAAAGCGAACAAAGCGAACGAAGTGAAGACACATGCAACGTCCTGCAACAGCTTGTCACCAAATGGACACCCCCGAATGACCCAAGGTATAAAGAAATACAACCAGTTCTTGCGAACTAGGGGATGTCGTTCAGGACTGAATAGGACAGTGTTAAAACAGCACTTAAGTGGCCCCTTCATTGGGGAAGAGGCTTCTTTGAATGGAGCCAAAGCATCCCCTGGCAGTGGTAATGGTGGACACACGAACAAAGCAATTCTGATTCCGAAGTTCTCCCCCCCATGGGTTCACAATGCACAGATAGGAGAGCCCCCTACTAGTGCTTCCCTCATTGGGGACGTGCCCGATGTCTGTCCCAACGAGTTGAGGAATACTCAGCCCAAACCAAGCAAAGTATGCGTGTACATTAAAAGTAGTGCCCCGAGGGGACACATGCAAAGATGTGATACAGATCGGTCTGGTCAGGAAAGAAAAGTTACAACCGCTTCTGATGAGGAATGCGAGAAGGAGAAAATCACAAACGATTTGCTCCTGAAAAAATTGTACATTGAAAAAAAAAGGCAGCTCTACGAAAAGAGCAAGTTCCAAAGGGCCATTACCAGCATGCTGCAGAGGAGAGCCGCCTTGAGGGAAAGGGTAAGGGACAAGTACACCGGTTTGGCGGGTCTCCACGGCGTTGCTGGCGTTACTCATGTGGGCGACGTTGCTGCGGGCGAACGCGATAACCTCTTAAGCACCCCCAGATGTGCTAGGAATCGGCCAAGTGAAACCTACAAACGTGCGCATGGGTCTGGGGCCTGGAGGGATACAACCCAGGAGGGGGGTCACATCAGTAGCTGCAGCAACGTAAACTTGTACTCGTCAAATGAACAGTCCGATGACGGCTTCGGCAAGATGGCGCACAACGCAGCGAGGAATTACAGTGCGCAAAATGGGTGCAGAAGAGTGGGTGCCCAACTCACCGAGCCCGGTGAACGAAACCAAGTGAGGGAACCAAACTGGGTTAACAAAATCTCACAAATCACACCCTTCAAAGAAGCGGTAAGGACAAGACGCTCCGATAAGTTAACAAATGAACGGAGCAATGGAGGAGCCGTCCACAAGTCATTCGCAAAATATTTCCGCACGTCATGGAGGGGGGGAAGAGCCCGCCGATGCGCAGCAGACCATAAAAGGCTTAGGTCGCTGTCCTATAAAAATAGGGTATCCACATTAAGCGTCCTGGAGAAAAGCATTCAACCATTGAAGGAACACGCAAAGAGGAATGTGATCCTTGGGGAAAGCACAAGTGATGAAAAAAGTGATGAGAAAAGTTATGAACAAAGTGATATAATTCAAAGTGAAATCAACAGGTGTGTAGAGCGAGGTCGTTATGCAGAGTCCGGAGACGAAACGGAGGATGACACAAGTGACGAAAGCACAGACGAGGGGACAAACAAAATTTTGAATGAAAACAAATCCAGTGAAGATGAACAAAAAGGTGGAATAAAAATAACCTATAATTTGGGAAGCATCGTGAAGAAGGGTAATCCCACTTTACATGAATGGGTTAACACTGAAAACACATTCATCCCTGCACTAAATGAAACGAAAGGGCGCGTCGGTAAAAGCCAGTGCAACCGTAATGAAGATCAAACGGATGAGCACAGCTGCGAAAGGGGGGACGTACAAACAGCAAACGTTGAAATGGAAGAAGGAGATTCCTATTCAAGTATAAGGACGGATGGAAAAAGGGAAACCTCCATCGAGGAAAAAAAAAACACAATGGAAATCAACTCACTTACCAGTGGTAACTTGCAGAACAAAAAGACCAATCAATCAGATAATTTATTCAGGGTAAAAGTAACAATAAAGAAAGCCAGTGAAGGAAGAAAGAAATTAGACAAAGGGAGTAGTAACATGGAGGAGGGTTCGAACCATAATCGCTATGTTTTACATGGGAATGTGGAGAGCATGGGTTCTTCTTCCTACAAGGGAAATGCAAGCAATGGATACATCAAACGCATAGGATTGGTACCCAAAGAGAAAGGAAATTTCAGCGACACGGAAGTGGCCACTAGGAAGAGAAACTCGGAAAGCCTGACAAATGAGGGAAATGAGTCCAATGGTAAATATGGCAACCTCGAATGAGGGGATTATCACACCCGGTTTGTCTACCTGTTTGGCAATTAATTTGTGGCGAGTGAACATATGCACACAGTAGCGTGTACACCAGCATGCCTACTTTAGGGACCCCCACGTGCGCACACTTTCATGACCCCTTTTTTTTTTTTTTTTTTTTTTCGTGGCCCCTGTTGCAGACCAGCCCGGCAGCAGAACCTTCCTGAGGAAGAACGACAGACACGGAGGTGGAGACTATTTAAAGATCAAGCAAAAAGAATGCGCAAATAAGAGAAGCCACTCTCATTCAAAGTTTTCCAACCAGGCAGAGGGAAGTAGGGACACATTACCCGGTATGAAGTTCACCCCCAAATGTAACTCACCCCTATGTAGAGGTCGATCCAATGAGACCAACCAGCTGCTAGACTTGGAACGTATCGACCCCAATAAGTGGATACAAAAAATTTTTGGAGATACGCACTGAAGTTACGCAGCGCGGGGAGAGTTGTCGCACTGGGGGCACAACTTGAATGAATAAAAAAAAAAAATAAAATAAATAAAAGAGGTTGGGTAAGCAAATGGGGAGCTGCCGTAAAAATGGACACTTAATTTAATTTACCAAAATGAAAGGCGGGGCGTAGCATAAAATGAAGTGCACAATTGTATGGCTTAAAAATTATATAGCGGTACGAACGGAATGCAATGGTGAAAAAAATGGGCCGAGCGGCCCGGGACTTGGACGCGGGTGCTGTGGGGTCATCAGATTAAGCGAATTAGCGGATTGTCGAATAAGCAGATTGTCGGATTGGCAGCATTATCATATGACGCGCAGCGCACGAAGCGGAGTAGCTCGTGCAACAGTGTGTCCTGTGCGATGCCTATCTTTTTTTTTTCTCGTGTTGCTTCCAGTCAAAGGAGCTCAGGGCGAGCTCAATATCGTACGCATCGACGGGCAATTTCCCGTTATACTTTAAAATTTCATTTTCCTTGTGCAAAAAAAGACCACTGTTTAGGTCTAGCACGAGTTTCCCGTTGAACGGGCCTTCGCCGTAGTCTCCCTTCTCGAATTCGACTGTCAGGTCGCCCTTGTTAACTGTACACTGTAAGGGAAAAAAAAAAAAAAAAGCACGCATATATATATGTGTGCGCGTATGTACATGTGTGCAAAGTGTGCACTTTCACCTGACCCGTTCATATTTTTTTCGTAATTATGTTGAAAAAAAAAAAAAAAAAAAACAGCTAGCCATTTGACAGACACATCCTACATAATACATAGGGGTAGACTCACAAAGGACTCAATTCTGCTGGCGCAGTGTGCCCATTTGTTATACATCGGTGTAGCATAAATACGCATCCGCTTCCCCCCCTTTTTGCTTCGAACTTACCTTCTTTATTTCCGCGCCCAAGGAGTTTTGAAGCGCCTGCGTGAGGTCCTCCTCCGGGAAACTCTGGGCCATTCCTACATAATTATAATATATTTCGTTCACCATTAATTCTAGCTCCTCCTGTTCCTCGGTAAACCAGTTGGTTGACATGAGTAGTGTCAAAAAGGAAATTAATTTGTAGTAATCCTTTTTGTCTTTTTCTTTCTCCAACTCGGCTACTTTGGTCCACTGTTGATATACATTATTTACAATGTCCCAAATTTTCTTTTTATCATTTTCTGATATGGTTTCATTTTCCAACATTTTGGTCATATCTCCAATGAGTTGACACATATCATTTGGGTATACATAATTCGACGATGCCTTCAACCCCTCCATATTTTTCTTTTCCTACTGGGTATTTTTTCACAAAAAAATCTCTCAGTTTACTGACGTGAAGCTGTGGGTGGTGGACGTATTTTATTTTACAATGTTAATATGCTCCTCTGGAAAAACTATATTGCCTGTCACTGCATCAACTGTTGGTAAGGTTCTTTCCTTCTTCGCGGGATCCAACAAATTGTTCAGTCGCGACGCGCTGCTGGGTGGGCCTGATTTTTTCTTTGATTCGTTGTCGCGTTGGGCAGTCAGCCGACCGTTTAGGCGTTAATAGTTCGTTAGGAAATCTTTTATTGCTTCCTAGTAATTCTTTCGTCGATCGTTCGTCTACCGCGTGGTCACCCAATTGGTCACTTTTTTACGCTCTTTTTTTTTTTTTTTTGGTCATGCGTCATGCCAACAGGGGGCCTCCCAAAAATGGGAATCTTTTCACCGACATGGAATAAATTTACTACGCGCTGCCCTTTTTGCGCCTTCTTTTTTTCTATAAAAAAAATGCGCGCCGCCAACAGCGAAAACGGATTAAATAGTACATTGTACGTTATTTATGCACTGCACTGCGCTGTATTGCACTTGTACTGGACTGTACCAAAATGGTATGCTTAATTATACGTGCGCGCGCTTTACGCATATTGTAAGTGCACCAAGGGATGATGTGAAACCCTTACACGATGGCACTATCAAACAGAAACTACAAAAAGGAAGCATTATAACAAAGCATACGTTTGCGTGTATGCATTTGCGTAGTACATACTATGTATACGTCTTTGTATGTATTTATGCGAGTACAAGAGAACGTATCGATATGGTGCAGTTAAAAATGTATATATAGAGCGGAATGCTAACTGGATGATTATACTGATATATTGTTTCTTTTTTTTTTTTCCTTTTTTTTTCCCGTGTCAACCCCTGTAAACTGTGTTTATGCCGGAAAAATGCATTTTTCTCAGTACTGACAATGAGCAACGAGTCATTTGCAGGCCTGCCTGCAAAATGTTAAGTATGGAACAATATATGTCAATTAAATACCAAGTTACTATCATGAATAATCATGTAATCTGTCCTCATTCGTTTATGCGATGTGTAGCTATACGGGGAGTCGTTCATTTGGTGGACCAAGCGGGCGAGAGAAAGACCACTTGCATTTGTTTACACCCATGTGTACAAGTCTACCTTAACAGACAACAACATTTTTTTTTCGTATCCATTTGTACTCATCTGTGAAAGTCCTACGGGACTTATCCCCATGACAAATTTGTTCCGTTCTTTTTTCTACGCTCTGTTCGTCGTTTCGAAAATTACATATGAGAAACGGTGCTCTGTCCATAGGTTGGCTCAAAAAAAAAAAAAAAAAAAAAAAAGGTGCGTGCAGGTACACATAGAGGTTGTACTTTCCTCAAGGGAACCAAACTAATGGACAGAAAAGCGTATTGGATGAAAAAAAAAAGGGATAACCTCCCTCCTTCCATACACACAGTTGATTTGTCAACCACATGGGGGTAACTCCGTCCATTCGTCTACAAAGCATGAGCCACCTTTCTGCTGATTGACAAACTGTTATCGACGTTCGCTTGGAAGCTTTTGCCGTTCGTGGGAACCACGTCAACATGGATTTCCGCAAAATTTATTGGTTTTCGCATAAGGGTTAAAATAATTTGCCGCCTCCCTACCCATGGGTGTGGTGCCTGCAACATGTGGGAAAGGGACCCGCCCACAAGGAGGTTTTTTTTTTTTTTTTGCCTTAAATTATTTCTTTACTAGACAACGGTGACACGGGCGAAAAGGTATATATAAATATTTTTTTTTTTTTTTGTTTACAAAGGGGGAGGCACATGGCGACAAAACTGAGCTAGGGGTGAGAATACACATATGGATATATATATATATATAACTACGCGTATAGGATTTTCCTTCTGCTTAAAATTTTAACAGCCGCAAAAGTTCGTGCTTTTCCAACGCCCTTTTTTTTTTTTTTTTTTTTTTTTTTCTGTCGTTCAACTGGTCAGCTATTTTTTTTCTTTACGCCCCATTTTTTGGCTGTTCCATTTTGGGTGACGCAAAAGTGCGCGTTTGGGTTGGAGCTTCCCCCAAGAAGGCGCAAAAATAAAAAGCACGTCAGTTCTCATGCATACATAAGTATATGTATACAGGCCAAAGTACATACATACCTCACATATACATTCCCTCTTAGTTGTTTTCCTTCGGCGCGCCGCCTGATTTTACCTGCTTCCTTTGCCCAGACTTACGCCTTCTCGAAGTATGATTCACTTCGTGTTGCTTATCAGCCGGCAGGGAAAAACGAGATTAGCGAAATGGTACATCCCATTGTCGCAAAAGGAGAAGGCCAAGATAATTCGGGAGACGTCCCAGATTACGCTGAACAGGACGCCCAAACTTTGCAACTTTGTCGAGTGGAGGGAGTACAAGCTGGTGTTTAAGAGGTTTGCCCATTTACATTCCCGAGTGAAAATGAACGTATAGGAGGAAGCGGCCCAAGCCGGTGTGGCTTCTTACCACCCCCCCCCCCCCCCCATCCGCTTCTAACCGCCCCCCCTGCAGATATGCCAGCCTGTTCTTCATCGCTTGCATCGACAAAGGAGACAACGAACTAATTACGCTCGAAATTATCCACCACTACGTAGAAATATTGGACAAGTATTTTGGCAACGTGTGTGAGTTAGATTTAATATTTAACTTCCACAAGGCGTACTACCTGCTGGACGAGATTCTAGTGACGGGAGAATTGCAAGAGAGCAGCAAGAAGAATATCCTACGAGTGGTTTCCGCGCAGGACTCCCTGATGGAGGACACCAACAGTAGCAAGAAGTTGGGCTCGCTCATTTGATGGAGCAAAAAAGGTGCACTTCATTTCGCTCTTAGGCGAAGTGATGTCCCATCGCTCAAGCATGAAGAGGTGGGTGTAAGTACGTGGCTACTTTACGTATGTGTGCCCATTTTTGCCCTATCCAACTCCTTACACGCCATCCCCGGGTTAAACTCCTTTTTCTTTTGTTTTTTTTTTTTTTGTGTGTGCGTGAGATATACCTTTGTAGGCGATGGCGCATTTATGTTTTTTGCAACTTATTTGAAACATTTTAAAAAGCATATATTTTTTTTTTTTCTTTTCATTTAAAAGTTATTTTTAAGAAGGCGCATGTTAGACTCGTTCGCGCGCGGCACGCAGGCGGCAAAAAAAAAAAAAAAAAAAAAAAAATTTTACGCTAGTACGTAATACTTACACAAGCGCGTGAAACGGATATAAAACATAAAACAGTTTCCCGCTGTATAATTTTTTTTTTGGGGGGGGGTGAAAATGCATGTGTATTTTCATAATTAACCCCTGGTTGTGCGTACCATATATCCCCGTGAAAGGATGTGCGCTCTCAATATGTGAGTTACAACTTGGACGCCTGGGCCTCCTTGGCGGAGTTCTGCTCCCGTTCATCTTCCTGGGCGGTTCTAGCCTCAGTAGGGGGGATGGCCTTGTCTACGTTGCCAGCGCTGGAGTCACTCAGGGACTGGTCCTGCTGGGCACCTGAAACTCCATCTGCGTTCTTCTCATAATGGTAAGCATACCTAGCAGTAAGGACAAGAAGTTCGTTCAATTTTGTCAACAGCGATCGGGGGTCTTCCAAAATACCCGCAGCGATACAAGCATTATCGTACAGCTGCTGAACCAACAATTTGGCCACCTCCTGGTTGGTATTCTTGAGATGGAAAATAGACGTAACAATTGTATGAGAAGGGTTTAATTCTAACGTTGCAGGTAAATTATGCAACATGTTATTGTCCTGGAAGGAGCTATTCTTCATGGTAGCCTTCATAACCTTCCTCAGTGTGGGGGATAAAAATCCAGTAACTACTGCAGGAGATTCTGTTAAACGGTCAGAGAATTTCACATCTGAACATTTAGAACCCAATACATCTTTGAAATATTTGGCTAGCTCACTCTTTTGACTATCATTAAAGATGCGATTTTTCTGTGTCTGATTGGAACTTTCATCACCCTTGTCACCCTCCTTAGCACCATCGCCCCCCTTGTTAGCATTGAGCAGGTCCTGGTCGAAGTCCTCATTCTGAGAAGAGTCAATGGAAACAAACTTGGCTCCATTAAACTCTTGCAGATTCATGAGAACAAATTCATCAATTTCTTCAAACAGAAGAAGCACATCTACTCCCTGCTTTTTAAAAGGCTCCATGTAGGGAGAGGAAAGAGCCACATCTAACTCGTTGACACAAAAGTAATATATTTTTTTTTGTGAATTTTTAAAATTTCCTACATAATCTTTAAGTGAAATATTTTTCCTTTGTTGAATGGAATAAAAGCGTAAGAGGTTCATCAAAATATTTTTATAAAAATTATTTGAAGAATCTTCCAGTACTCCTTCCTTTAAGTAGTAACTATAGTTTGTATAAAACTTTCTATACTTGTCCTCATCTCTTGTGGATTCCTTCTCTAGGGTCTTCAAAATTTTGGTTACTACCACTCTAGATATTTTACTGATCAAGGTGCTGTCTTGCATATTCTCTCGGCTAATGTTCAGTGGCATGTCCTCACAATCAATTACTCCCTTGACGAAGTGTAACCACTTTGGAATTATATTGTCTGCGCTTTTCTTCACCAGCACCTTTTTGCAGTAAAGCGATACTTCAATCTCATTGCTCTGTTGAAACAACCTCGATGGAGCTTCTTCCGGGATGTAAAAGACACTCTTTATAGACATGGGTGCGTCCGTTTTGTACAACACCTTGTACACATATCCCTTATCATCATCGTAGCTTTTTTTCTTTGTTAAAAATTTGAAAAATTTCTCATGTTCTTCCTCTGTCACATTCTCTTTGCACCACAAAGGTTTCTGGTTATTTATCAGCACTTCATCCATCAAGCTTTCTGTGTCCTCTTTAACAGTATCCGCAACGGTGGTGGCTTCCTCCACTTCCGCTGTCCCTTCCATTCTTTTCTCTTTTTCTACTTCCTTATCAAGTCTCTCCTGTGTGACAGGGCCTTCTTCCTTTTCCACATCGTCCCCCTTCACCAATCGGCTACTTCCCTTTATGTCCTTCTTTCGATTAACAATATAAACTGGGAAGTTAATAAAGGAGGAAAATTTCTCTACAATTTCTTGAACCCTATGGATGTTAGAAAATTCTTTACAGCTCTCCTTAAGGTGGCAAACAATTTTGGTACCTCTGGGCAGATCCTCCACTTCCCTCAAAGTGAAAGAACCATTCCCATCCGACCTCCAGTGATAACCAACTGCGTTAGCATCATGTGATCGTGTGAACACTTCCACTTCATCTGAAACGACAAAAGAACTGTAAAAGCCTACACCAAACTGCCCTATAATATTATCTACAGATTTGGAAATATCTCCCCTTTCACCTGACTGCTCTACAACATTTTTACTCTCCTCAGTTGCATTCCTGCTTTTCTCCTTTAAGGCGTTTAGGAAATTCTGAGAGCCACTCTTAGCTATCGTGCCCAAATTCTCAATGACCTCTTCCTTGTTCATACCAATTCCGCTGTCCTCAATTATGAATAAATTTTTGTTTGCATCAGCGGACACCTTGATGTGCAGGGGAATCTCAGCCGTTTCATTTCCTATCGTATCCTCTACACTTTTAATGGACGCTGTTTGAGTGAATCTCCTTTTTTCCAACGCATCGGAGGAGTTACTAATAAGTTCCCTAATGAATACTTCCTTATCTGTGTAGAGCGAGTGTGCAACTATTTGTAGCAGCTTCTTCGTCTCTGCCTTAAATTCGTAACTTTCTCCTGCGGTACTAAAATGTTTCACCAATCCTCCACACCTGCTGTTAAATTCCTTGGCGATCAGTTGAGCATACCATTTCTTGTACACACTGTTACTACTGCTGCTAATTTTTCTCAGCCCTCTATACGTGGTCACCGCTGCCTTGTTCTTCGTCTGTGCTTCTACTACCCCGCATGTTTTGTTTATCTGCAGGGTGCATCGGGCCAACTTTGACATGCTCATGGTTTTCACTGTGCGGGTTTTCGTGTGATTGGGTTTCTCAGCTCAGTCGCTGCGTCGCGCTTGGTAAAAGCGGCATGCGTATGCGCGTGAGGGGGGGATGTGTTTATAAAGCGTGGGAAAAACGCTCACAATTTGTTTTTTTTTTTTTGCCGGGGGAATACCAGTGGGATGAAAAATCTGTTGCAAAATCTTGCGAATCTCTTGCGGATGCTTTGAAAATAATTCCAAGCGGGATGGCAAAATTTTCGAGCGTACTTTCACAAAAAAAGGTATGGCAATTTTTTTATCAAAGTGAACATTTTTTTTCAGCTCTTTTTCTTTTTTTTTTATTTTTCCCCTTCCATTCCATTTGAAGTCGTACCCTCTCGGGTGCTTCGAACTTTTGCGACGTCGTGTAGGGGGGGGGCGAAGGAGCCGCCTCGAACAGCAGTTTACCCCTCCGTCGCGACGTCACATGTTCCTCATATTGGTGCACAGGCTGAACCACATATATCCCTCGTGTTTGCGTGCATTTGTCACTTTTGCATGCACATAAAAAATGTACATATGTGATGGGATATCCCTTCTTAAATGAAGAATCCACCCCCTCTGAGAACAACATTTTTAAGGAAAAGAGGCCACTTAAACATAAACCCATGAAGGGAGTACGAACAGATACAAAATTTCGCGGGTGTATGGTAAGGTACATGCCTGCGTGTACCTTGCGCGAGTCCCACATTTAATCATCCCGTACACCTATGTACATCGAACGGTGAAATGAGGAAGGGAAAAAAAAAAAAAAAAAAAAAACAGGGCCATCCTGGAAAGTAGAGGACAAAATACGAATGTGTTGTACTGTTACATTCTGTGAATCGCAACTGAGTTTTATTTTTTCCCCCTGACCAACAACAATTGACAATTCGCTTTGGGGTTTACATAACTTAGTGGGTAATTTTCTCCCATAAAAGTTGGGATACCACATCAGAAAGTAACACTCCCCTCCTTGTGAGGCGTAACCTATTTGTATTCCGTCCAATGGTGTGCACGTTCCCCAGTAACGTCAAAATGGAGAAGGCCTCACGGGAATCACGTTAAACATGGTGTATGCAATTTGTCCCATCGAAGGGGTTGATAAAAGTATAGACTAGCCAAAATGTATTTTTTTTTTTTTTTTTTTTTTTTTTGTGGTCATAATATTTGCACACATTTGCGGCGCAATTTTGAGAAAAATTATTGCCGTTCAGGTTATTTGTTTGGTGTGATATCCCCGTTTTTGTCCACTGCTCGAAGGGGGGGGTTTGAAGATTTAACAGGAGTGGAGGAGCAGTTCACCAAAATGCGAAGCACTTTATAGGGACTTGCATACACGTATGCACATTTGTACGTTTATTCGCGCCCCTTAAATGGCCCACCGTTCGCTAGCCCTCCTCTTCGAGGGGCAAAACAATCGACGCGAAAAAGAACAGGTACACACACGGGAAAAACCAGGGCGCTCGCCCTACACAGTCGACAAAACGCCATATAATGGAAAAACATCTATATATATGTACATATGTATGACAACAATGCGGCGAAAAAAAAAAGGACTCCTTTTTGTTGGTCTCTTCCCACTTGAAAACGTAATTAAGCGTTCCCCCAGTTGAGGGTTACCACAGAGGAATAAAACGGACGCACATTGGTAGGGTACGTCGCACTGGCCCATTCAATACAAGAACGTCCATGAGTAGCTTTTTTCACTGCATGGGTAAAGAGACCACACATGATGTGCCATTCGTTCCAGCATAAACATTGTGTGTTTCAGTTCGAAGGAAGTAGCCACTCCTATTAACTCTCATCATTTGGTACACCACGCAGTAGCGCTTCTTTCCACTTTTTGGTGAGAGATAACCATTTATAGGGACTCCTCCCTCTCCCCCAGGCATGAGACTCCTTCACTTTTTGTCATGTGGAGAGTCCACTCCTCGCAGCCAAATTGTTCAAAAGGATAATCCTTGTTGCGCGTAGCAAAACACACACGTAACTTCGCTGCAGAAAGTTGAAATGGGGGGCAAAGCTCGAGGTGCTCATCGAATTTGTAACCTTATCCACTTGGTTTTCCCCAACAAGGGAGAATTACAAGGGGGAAAGGAGTACAATGAAATGGCTCAAACGTGGGAAAAAAAAAAAAAAAAAATTATAAATGGATGTGGTACCACCCCCCCGTTACACCCATTTTTATGTTAGCATATGCAGCAAAGCCACAGGGAAAAAAAAAAACGAAATAACAATTTAATGCTACACATACCTCGTGCCTATGTAAGTCCGAAAATCGAAAAGGTGCACTTTGTACACTAATAACACGTGCCTCATAGGTTTTATCGCTACTCTATGCCAAATGTAACTTCACCTGTTTGTTTTTAAAAAAAAAAAAATATATATTTACTTGTTCAAAATTCTCATTGTATGCACGAGCCATTCCATTAATGAAAAAGCTCTTTCTGAATCACTACAGAGAACGTCGATTTTACCTCTTTGTCGCATTTTATAATCGAATAAAACTGGCATCATATGGCCGCTGCGCATCGCGTACGTGAGGTGTAGCGCTGTGCAAAGGAGCGTGCATACGGGGTGGGGATCATCACAAGGGCGGATCACAACACTGGTTTACTTACTACCGCTTCTGCACAAACAGGCACATATGAACATACGTGCTCTTTACACGACGGAGTACATTTCCTTTGGTGTAAGCCATTATATGATAGCACTTGCCCTTCACCAAGATTCGTACACTGCGAAAGTGTGAATTGCGGAGTGGACACACTGAGCCCACCCCGGCCGAACGAAGGAAAGGCATCTCCGCAGGGCAGGTGGACGCAGCGGCAGCACGGTGTACGTGAACAGATTAGAAAGGTCCTTTTGGGCAAACAAGTCAGACAACCCAGCTGCGAGCACTCCACCCAGGCAAGATGCACAACTACGCGAGAGTAAACCACATAGACCTTGAGCAAGACCTCACGGTTGACGAGTACTACTCGGTGAAGTCCGGGTTAAGAATAATCCTGAGCAAAATCAAGAGCCCCAAAATATATGGCTACTTCACCCTACTGACGGAGGCCGAAAATGACGAGGGGTTGCCGCACACCCTAGAGCACCTGATATTTTTGGGAAGCCACAAGTACCCACACAAAGGACTCCTGGACTCATTAGCATACAAATGTCTGTCCGAAGGAACCAATGCCTGGACCTCAATCGACCACACCTGCTACACAATAGAGACCTTTGGCATGGAAGGGTTCAGTAATATCCTACCCATTTATTTGGACTTCATCTTAAACCCAACCCTAGCAGATGATATGTTTTTGTCTGAAGTGCATCACATATTTGAAAATGGAACACATAACGGAGTGGTCTACTCAGAAATGAAATCCATAGAGAATAATTGTGAAAATATAATTGAGAGGACAGTCATTACGAATCTTTACCCAAATGATAAGAGTGGGTATAGGTTCGAGACAGGTGGGACGTTGGATGGGTTGAGGAAAACTAATAATAATCGTGTGAGGGAATATTTTAAAAAATTTTATAAGCTGAACAATTTCGCCATTATTATCTTTGGCAATTTTAACAATGACGATATTTTGAATATCATTTACGAGTTCGAGCAGTACCACTTGGAGTTGAACCCGGAGCAGGTCCTCGGCGGGGCGCACGCAGCGGCGGCCGCAGCGGACACAGCGGCAAAGACGAACACGAAGACAAGCACCGAGGACGCCCCCTCCGCGGAGCAACTGTTCATAAGTCACATGCAAAGCCCCGAGAGACCCTGGAGCGAACAGTGCAACGTCGAAAGGAGGAGCGACTCAAAAGTTGTAAAAAAGTATTACCCCTGTAATAATCTGAACAACGGGCAGGTGTGCATCGCATGGAGGGGATGCGACTGGGCCGACTTCCACACCAAGTTAGCCATATCCTTGCTGGGCAACTACCTCACCGACTTGACGACCTCCCCCGTGAGCAAGCGCCTGCTGGAGGACAAGGAGAACACCTACTGCAGCAGCCTGGACTTTGCACTCGAGGACTTGAAAGGGAACTACTTCACCATCGACATTTACGACGTGGTGTACAAGTTTAGGGTGGCCGGCGGGGAGGACAAGCAGCAAGCGGGGCAGCAGCAAACGGGGCAACAGCCAACGGAGCAATCACAAACAGAGCAAGGGAAGACGGCGAAGCTGTACGATCCCAAGATGGACGAGGTAGGGGAAATCACGCGCAAGTGCCTGCAGCAGGTCCTGGAAGAGCCGCTCAACATGGACAGGATGAAGAACATCATTGTCCGCTCTTACCTGCAGCACCTCAAGGACCTGGAGGCAGCCCCACAGTACCTCCTAAACGAATTTATCATAAAGTATTTTATTTATGGAAGGAACAAGGAGGACCTGAACAACTGCTTAAATTTGAAAAAGGCGTATGTGGATTTGTTAGGGAAAAAGGAGGAGTACTGGAAGGAAGTGCTAAAGAAGTTCTTTGTGCAAAACAACTACGTGGAGGTGAGGTGCTACCCCAGTTACAAAAAGGCCAAGCAAATTGAACTCTTCGAACGAAACCTAATAGAAAGTGAACAGAAGAAATACGGGAACGAGAAGCTGCAGGAAATGGCCAAACACGTAAGGAAAATTAAAGAGAGCTTTGAGAAGAAGCCCCCCAAGAGTTCTCTCAACGTAGTGGACTCTGCGAAACCACAAAACGTGTTAATCGAGGGTATAAGCGTGTTCCGTAACTTTGAGCTTTTGCAAAAAGGGGAGGGGGAAACAAGAAATACCTCGTTGGAAGTATCACCCATTGAAATGGACACGTCGCAAGATGTGTCTTGTGAAAACGCCAAGCTGTTGAGTTCTGTCGAAGGAGATTTGAAGAGAGTAATTTTCCCCATCCAGCTGAGCCATATCCCATCTAACTTCGTATCCATTAACGTGTTAATAAACTCAAGCAACGTGAATGAGGAGTTAAAGAAATATATTCCCTTGTTGAGTTATCTGCTGTTCGAGACAGATGTAGAGGTCAACAAGACCAATGTGAAGTGTGAGTTATTCACAGAGGAACTGATTAGGCACACAATAAACTACTGTTGTAACTACGGTTTGGGGGGAAATGCTAAAAATTTTAGAGGAGGAAGCTTAGGAAATATACTCTGCATACAAATTGTAGGTCTTTATGAACACTATGAAAAATTATTTGATCTTCTTTTTTTATCAATTTTTAAAATGAACTTAACAATGGAAAGAATGGAAATCATCCTCAAGTCAGCTTATCAGAATTTGCTGCAAAAAAAAAACGAAACCTAAAACGTTAGTAATTAATATGGAATATGGTCTTCGGTATATGAAGAGTAGCACGTCTGGAATTGTGTCGATTGGACAGCAGGAAATGATTCTTGAGTTAATTGAAGATAAAAAGAATTTGAACGAGTTATATGATAAGCTGAACACATTGAAAGGGCAACTGTTTGATTTAAACAATTTCGTCATCGCCATTGATGCGAATTTTTGTAAAATTAAGAATGTGTTTTCGTGGTATGACCGCTGGTTTAAGATTTCATCCCCGGGGGAGCAAAGCGCCACCCCGTCACAACAGCATAAGAAAAACTACACGGTGAATGCCCCATGCATGGAATTCCCCCTTGATCAGGCTAGCGGAGTGGAGATGGCTAACGCTGCAAATGGGGCTAACGCTGCAAATGGGGCTAACCCTGCAAATGGGGCTAACCCTGCAAATGGGGCCGCTAACCTCTGTAGCGTTGCGGCGCAGGGAAGTGTCCCGCAAGATGTACAAAATACCCCGCAAACGTGTGAAACGAAGAAGGAGAACAGCGCCAACAAGTACATATGCCTAGGCCCCAGTGTGCACAAAAGCTTGAAGGAGTACTTGAACGCTGAGTTCGAAAAGGAAGACAAAAATTTCAAACTCAATTTGGTAAAAGAGAAAGCGTACAATGGAGTTTTGTGTGGCCTAAAGAGTACGGATGTTTCATACCTCAAGCTAACTGTTAAAGTACCCTCAGGATATGAACATGAGGATTACTGTGCCCTCTTGCTCCTTCGTGAATTTTTTTGTATGACGGAAGGCCCCCTATACAACAGCATTCGTGGAGGAGGGTTCGCTTATGAATGTGCCTTAGACTTTAACGCTATTCATGGGGAGCTCAGCTTGAGAATTTATAGGTCCAGTGATATTATTAGCGCCCTGAAGGAAGCACTTCACATTTTTGACCACTACTGCAAGAATGAAATGAAGGAAGAAGATATTTCTCTTGCAAAGAGCAGCGCCTACTACACCATCTTTAACAACCAAGAAACGGTCTCAGATAGAGCTTCACAAACGATATTTTTAAGTATAAAAAATTTGCCCCTGAATTTTTATAATAATATATTAAGGAAGATTGAAAACATAACGCCGAAAGATCTGCAGGGAATTTGCCACAAGTACTTGTCTCGAATTGTGAACTTCAAAATTGACAAGAGTAATGCACTCATCGGGTCGACCCTCTGTATCATATGTTGCTCCGATAAGATGGAGGAGATCGTTGATAAGCTTAGGAAGGACGTGAAGGTGGGCCCCATATCCTCCCTCAGCGTCGCGCAACTTTTTCACTTTTTCAAGGACTACGATATTGGCGCGGCGCTTGGCACGGGGGGTTCCACCGTTGATGGGGTTAGCGGTGCAGTGGACAAACCTGTGTGCTTGGCCAATGTGGACGACGATGAGGAGGATGAGGAGGATGATCAATGTGGCGATGGTGCTAGTCCTGGGGAGGATGACGACTCCTCCGGTTCGTCGGCCGACTCCACCTGCTCCGTGTTGTCCGAGGACGACAGCTACCCGGGGTACTCCGAGGGGTAGAGTAGTAATTCGCCCCCCAGACCGCTTGACAAAAGCACGTGTAACCCATCACGTGTGATAGTGAATATACAATATATATACATGTGTGGGGGGGGTTTGTCCCCTAACAAACGCTTTACGCCACAACACTCATATACGACACCACGTTGGATTGGACTGAACCAATCCTGCTTCTAACATTTTTGTAAAAAAAAAATTTTAACGGATAATTTTTTTTTTTTTTTTAAAGCAGTTAGAAAAGGTGTGCCCCATTTAAGGGGAGAAAAAACACAACAAAGGCTCCTGCGGGTGTTGAAAAAAAAAAAAAAAAAAAAAAAATCGCACGTAGCGTACCTATATGTGTGTAGAACAAATGGCGTCAGTTGGGGGAGATCGGTACAACTTGGTAATTTAAAAAAATGGGGTAACAGGAGGGTGATTGTATTTGGTAGTTGTTTCCCCGCGCGCAGTATAAAAAGTGGGGCTCGCGATAGGGTAAGGGGCTGGTGTGACGATTTTATAACCGCTACGCCAGGACGGCGTCCAAGTCCCGGCAGTGACGTATCTCAATGTCAATGTACTCATATGGAAGAACGACGTCCCTGTTATGAAAGCGAGAAAAGAGACTATCCGCAAAGGGGTCATGCTGCGATAACTGTGTGTCACAATCTTTTTCCTCCAGCTTCAATTTCACGTAGGGGTACCACTCATTAGGGGAGACCTCTCTACCATGCCTAAACATGGTAATCCATGCACAATTAATATTTTTATTTTTTGCGCCCATGATATCTGTGTGTACGTCGTCCCCTACATGCATCCACTGGTCAATCCCCAAATGGAAATTTTTTTTTTTCAAAATATTTTCTGCTATATTAAAAATCTCCACATTAGGTTTGCAACAATGATAATCCATTGACCTAACGACAAAGATAAAAATTTCATTTAAAAATTTGATCTCATGTACATCTGAGTCTCCATTTGTAATGGCTCCTAAGATATAGCCCCTACATTTGAGTTCCCTCAAATACTCCAACGTGCCTGGGCTTATAAATAAATGCACATCGTTCTTCTTCTTCTTCCACAGTGCCTGTATCTCCGATACGAATTTCTCCTCATCGTAGTTTGTTTGTTGGGCTAAATATTTTAAAGCGTCTATTCGAATGTGTGTTAAAATTTTAACCCCATCTTTACTCACATGTGGTTTTTTATCCAATAGCTCTTTCACCAATTTGTTTATGGACAGATCGTACTTCTCCTGAAGGTAGTCATACACTCTCTTGTAGTGTTCCTTCATGTATTTGTAGCACGCAGTGTCTGCGTAGTTCAACAAGCCATCGATGTTCCATATGGTGTTGTCCAGGTCAAAGGTGATCAGCTTGATGTTTCTGAAATTCTGCTTCTTCCCCTTCTCCGTGATGTAGAAGCACTTATTCTCGTCCATCGCTGCGGGGGCTTTTAGCGGAGGGTCGTTAGCAGAGGGACGGCTTCCAACTCGGGGGACACCCTTCGACCATACTCTGCGAAAGAAGGGGCTGGTCTCCTCACCGGGCTTTAACAGAGTAGCACGTTTTATTTGTCTTCCTCCGACCTTTCAATAGAATTTTTTTATTTTTTACTGTCCCTACTATTACACTAAATGATGGACTCTCCTTTGGTCGTGCTGGGCGTGCATTCTATGCTCGTTTGGGTAAGCCACTTTGGTTCAGTTGGCTGTTATTTTTTTTTTATTTTTTTCTGAGGATTCAAAATTGGCTTCCTCCTTTGATGTGAGTATGTGCGTGAGCCTATGCCCCTAAATGCGAACTTGGATTAAATTCGCATATCGTGTGGGAAATTGTTTTTTTGAAGAGAAGAAAAAAAAAAAAAAAAAAAAATTCATTCCAGTCACGTGATCCCATTTCAGTGCATAGAACCCCGTGAATCCATTTCGACACTTCTAGTGAAAAGTGCATACGCCGCTACATGATCCGCTTCACGTGGCAATCCTCGCCG